GTGATTCCTTACCCCAAGGAGCACTAACTTCCACCAATTATAATGTGAAATACATCTAAGGAACTCAGGGTCAAGAGAAACTAAAATAGAGAGGATGCAAGCTGAGTATAAATGGGTGCCCAGTAGCCTTGTTTTGCCTACAGGCAGCCACATATAGTAGCATTTTAACTGGAAATAACAATAATACATTGTAAAATAATTCCTTCCATTGCTTATCTCCCATCTGCTACCTTATTCTTCACACATCTATTACAGATTGCAGTATTTAAATCTTTCCCTGCAGCTTCATCACATACTTGGGAAGAGGAATAATATTCTCTTTTCTGGTCACTTTCCAAACACTGTGAAGAGAGAAACTTTTTCCCTCCATCTACCTTTCCAGCTGCTGGGAAGGAAGCAGAAGAGTTTATCCAATCCTTATTCCTGTTTAAAAAACTTTCTGACTTTAAAAAACTTTTTAGTGGATCACTAAAGTATTTTTCAGCTAATAAGAGGGTCTAATTTGTAGGGCAAAGACATGAGTGCCAACCACAATATCAAATGATATTTTATTAGTCTGATAATCTTATTGTCATTTTAGGATCTCTGGGAGGACTCAGCAGCAATAAAATTCAGCACAGAGGAGAAGAAAAAGGAATCAGTGGCAGCTGGGTTACGTTCTGGATTGTCCTTAAACAAGAATACTTAAAGAATACTTTAATTACTTAGTTAAATTAAATTAATTACTTAAAGAGTAAGTGTTTCTGAATTTTAAAATGACAGAAACATCTTGCACCAGTGTGGTGGCATTATGCTAAGTCACCCAGTCACTCTTGTGGACTAAGAGGAATATAGTAATGGCCACTTTTAGCCATTTTTTTTTAGCCCCTTAAAATAAAAACAGGTCCAGTTGGCAACAGCACATGAAAAGAGCAACAGTCTCATTCCACTCAAAACCTCTGTGACATTTCCAAGCCTGCTCCAGTTGGTGAAAATTTGTTGATGTCCCAGTGGGGAAAAAAACAACTACTACCTGGTTTTGGTGACTCAGACAGAATCGTACCAACCCTGGACCAAAACAATAACAATCCAAACCAAAAGCAACTTCCCACTCTCCCAAGAAACATTCCTAACACCCCATTCATGAAGAACCGTAGAAGGATTTCCTTCATCTCCTCCTTCCTCTCTCAAACAGGAGCTCAAAGGCATTTACAAGGGATCTGACACATCATCTGTAGCTGCTGCATAAGTATTTATTAAACTGCAGTGAAAGCTGGGATTGTGTGTCTTTTTCAATCTCACATTCACAATCCTAACCAGTATTTCATATAAATTTCACCCCATGCTCATGGCTCAATGGGCAAAGCTGTTGTATGGAATGACATACAGTGTTATTTATAAATGTAATACTGTTTCTAAAAGTTTTACTTCTCATACACATCAGCTGTTTTTCTGAGCACTTTAATATACTTATTAATTCAATTTTAGTTTTTTCTTTTACAATACAAAGCATTAACTACATCTCTGTGTAGATTAGAGACAAAAACTGCCATGTTTCAGTTGATCTTGGCTTTAAGCTATGAAGCAGAAACTGCTGTCAAAAAGCAAACCCTAAATCACCTACAAATAGTACTGTAAATGCCAAAAACCCTAAAAATTTAGGTAAATTTTTAGGTTACACTTTATCTGCTACTGTAAGGAGGAAGCTTCTACTCTTATCACAACATTATTGTCCCTATCTTGGTAACATGTACATTTTTCTTCAAACCTGGATGTCCAAACTTGACATAGCACTGCATCAAGGAGCTCTTGGTGAGTCCCCACCTGGGGAAGGTGATGGCAGTCCCTGGAGATAATCCCAGCTTTAGCTGGCAGAAGGAGCTACACTAAGCCCAGCTGGAGATATTGTTGGTTTTCCCAAGTGAATTGTAAAAGGACTGAAAATCATGGCATTACACTGTGTTAGTTCATTTTGCTCATAGTTGGTGTATCACAAAATGCAAACTGGTTTAAATAAATCACCCTCAATTTCACACTCCAAAGATACCAGGACTGATAACTCTCCATTTGTATTTTAAGACAAACAGACAGGCTCATCTGAAAATGTATTTATCTCATGTTATGTTAATTTCCATGTTCTAATTTCTTGAATAAAACATTGTGCAACACGATATCTTATGCAAGTCATTCACTAGTTGACCAGACAGCTGGGAATCTCATCACAGATGAAACAAGTCCCAGTTTTCAGGCTCTAGTTTCTGCCCCTTTACAAAGATTGCGATTAATCATTCTTACACTTTTTCTTAATATTTTTCTTCCTTGGGTCCTGTTCCAATCTTTGGATCAGATCTACACCAGACTAATAATTTAATTTTATTATAAAAAAATACCATTTAATTTTCTTGTAGTATCTGTAGGTTTTTTTTCCAAAACCACTGGAATGCCTTCAGTGCCCCAAAAATTAAGGAAGGAAAACAATTATTGATGGTTAAGCAAAATCTTCAGAGTTTTAAACTCTGTAGTTCAACATATCCTGAGTAGGTGACTGATTTTACAACATCTGTGTTTCACAGCTTCTGTTTCACATCCTCCTTAGTTGACAGAACAGAACTACCGTTATGACTGAACTACCCCTAGTGTTCACCTCTAAACACAAACTAAATCACCTGCTGAACACCACTGCTTTTTCAACTCCCAGTGAATTTTTTGGACGTGCACATGTGGAAATGCACTCTTACTATGCATATATGGGCATATACCCACCTGTCTTCACTTCCCTCCAAAGAAGTTATTTAATTATGATCTCCTCTCTTGATTGTGGGTTTCACCAATATCTACTAAAATGAACTCAAAGATCTTTTAATTCTTACTGGCTCCTACATTCCACACAATGAAACTCCAAGTCCAAAAGGAAAAGCAATTTCACGTTTGACTAAGAGATAGGAAAACTAAGGTAATCAGAAAAAAAACACAAATATAATCTGTATTATAGAATCATAGAATAGAATCATAGAATCGATTGGGTTGGAAAAGACCTCCGAGATCATCGAGTCCAACCCTTGGTCCAAATCCAGTCCATTTACTAGATCATGGCACTCAGTGCCACGTCCAATCTGCGTTTAAAAATCTCCAGGGATGGTGAATCCACCACCTCTCTGGGCAGCCCATTCCAATGCCTGATTACTCTCTCTGTAAAGCATTTTCTCCTGATATCCAACTTAAATCTCCCCTGGCGGAGCTTAAGCCCGTGCCCCCTTGTCCTATTGCTGAGTGCCTGAGAGAAGAGACCAACCCCCACCTGGCTAGAACTTCCCTTCAGGTCTTACAGGTCTTACATATCTTTTATGTCTTACAGTCCTTAATGTTTCATGTATCTATAAGCTTCATTTATCCACTCATTCCACTCATCCCTGAATCACTGTTTTCTCCATGGAGACATGGTCTGCCTCAGACTTCTTTTTGCATCTGAAAATCCTAGGCCAGACTTCAGATACTCAGCACATATCTGTGCTTTTCTATTGTTCATTGAAACATAAAGCTGTGCACACAGGGGGAGCATCACCCGACCTAAGTGATGCTCATTGTGCAGGTGCAACAATGCCATTACCTTGAAAAACTTTTATTGAGTTACCCAAAGGATTAAGTTTACAGTTTTCATATTATTTGCAAATTTTGCTGCTGGAAGAGCTCTACAGTCAGGACAAAATACTAACTATTGCAGCCCTCAAAGGCAAAAGAAAACACATTTTTGTTTACAACGCAAATTAAAACACAGTTGCTATATTTTCCTATTACACTGATCAGTCCACAATTGGCTGAGCAGGGCAGTGGGGGCTGTTTTCATTTTTAAAAGCATGTATAACAAAAACTCATTCACTGAACTAGTTAAGTCCCCCTGAATCTAGAAAAAGACTCAACATCTTCCACTTTTCCTTGCCTTTTCACAAAACAAAGTATTTCTCACCTTGTCATCTGAAATGACCAACCAACATTTGAAAGCAAAAATTTCTGAAAAGCACAGAACAACAATAAATGATGTCTTTCCATTATTTCAATTTTCTCCATTTGCCTGAAAGCTCTGCTTAATTGATATTACCCCAGAAAGCCCTCAACAAACAGGCTCATAGGAGTGACAAAGCTGTTTATCACTGGTATCAGGGTCTTGGACACTCCTGGTTCCCAGGTATGCACAGAAAACTGGTGGTTTACAAAAACACAGTGTTGTCTTGATTACCTTTACCTACAGTGGAAATAAAAAGCTCCAGTGAGAGAACCCACAGAAATATATATATGTATATACACTCACACACACACACATATATATACATACACACACATATAACCATATAGCAACTATCAATGCAGTTTTGAAACTTATTTGTCCTGTATATTCCTATTAGTTTGTCAAAAACTTGCCAAAATTCTGATTCATGGTATCTGGTATTGTAGAATGGGCCATCGCTGTATCCCACACACTTTACAAGATTCTAGTCCTGGAAAGATTTGTCAAATTAAGTTTCACGAGCATCTTCACAAGACCAAAAATTCACTGACAAATTAAAGTGAATTCTGCTATAAATACATTTCTATTCCATTTACACACACAGCTCTTTTTATAGCTGTTAAACCTCCTCTCTTTCCATCTTTTTAAACACTATTGAAACTGTCAGGAACTACATTTTACACTTTATCAATCATTGCGCACACATCATGATTCCCAGAATTTCAAATGGAACTGTTGATGGTTCAGGTACTGTTAGACTGTCATTAGTTTTGCAAAGTGTGCAATTTGTCATTTTGGAAGAAGTGACAGTGCCTTCACTTGCACAATATGCTTTTAAATCTCCTCTTTCTAATTTGAAAATGGCAGTATTATCCTCTGCTTCAAGAGAGGTGTTTTTAAGGCTTGCAGGTTTGGCTTGTCACAGAGCAGTCTGTCAGGTAGTATTTTACCTTCCTTAAGGTTTATTCACATAAAGCCTGTTTGTGATATCACACAAAGACAATACTTTCTGTCTTACCTGATGGTAATGAGGCCCGTGTTAAACTTTCACTTTCCTCATCAGTGCTGGCATCATAGTCATTTTCTCTCTTTATAACCATCTGAGTAGTAGTTATATCATCCCTAGAAAACATTAAAAAAATTGAAAAAAAATAGATATTTTTGTTTCCCAAAGGAATCAAATAATTCAGAGAGAATGTGTATGAAAATTACCACCTACGGAAATGGCAGGGACACACTATGAATGGAAAATCAGCTGCAGCCCCACAGAAAACAGGACAGATTCACTGGATGTTTAGTTACAGCATCCAGAGCAATATGCTGCTATTTGCAGGGGTGCCAGGAAGAATCCTTCTCTCCCACTACTAACAGCATTGTTATGGATAACCCAACTAACTCTCAGTCAGGAAGAACTGTCACTCCCTGTTAGGGCCAAAGGAATGCAAACTAAACTAAACTAAAATATGCACCAGGTAAGATACCAAGAAAGCCAAGAAATGTAAGGAATACCTGGTACATTTGGCATCTGCTGCAGATTCTTTGGCTTCATTCAGCAACTTCTGTAAGTTTCTTATCTTTGCCTTCTTCTCATTCAGCACCAGAATAAAACGGTTATAAAGATCTGCCTCCAGCTTCTCTTTAGCCTCCACACATTTTTCCAGCCTGCAATGTAAAATTAACTATTACGCTAATTCTTCTTAAAATAATTTGCTGTTTCCTGGAAGAAAATTCTGTAGTGAGGTCAGACTTCCTCTTACAGGAATCTCCATTCCAAACCACGCAATACCAGTCCAGCACCTCGTGTCTGAAACAGCAGCTTTTCTTTTTCCCCCCTCAGAAAAGTGAAATGAACTTTGCTACCAAAAGGGGAAAGTTTCCAAATGTGAACATTTCTCTTCATGCCTTTTTTTTTTATGGGTTCCTGCACAGCTCCAACTAAAATTTAAATAGGCAAGTGTTCTTTATTTTCACTACTGAATCACCATAGTTGGTATACCTTGGCAGGATACACATAATGAGATTATAAATATATATGATTAGCTTGACAGGTCTCAAATTTGGACTACACAGTCTGATGTAAAATATATTTGAAGAGGAGGGAAAAAAATCCCCAAACATAAAAATGTTTAAAAGCTCTTAATTAGTATCTTCAGAGTAAAATATTCTTCATGTTTTTTAAGAAGTTTAATATGCACCTTTGAATAAGTCAATGTCAATAAAATGAAGCACATTGGAAATATAAAATTGAGAACACGGATGTATAATATCTCATAAGCAAAGAAAAACTGGAATACAAGCAAACATGAGCCCAAGAAATGACTTGTAGCAAATGCAATTCCATATTTGTATCCTATATTTTATAACCTTTTAATCCTTGCGTTGAACCACAAACATTTTTTTAGCTGTGTACACAATAAGCAAATAAACATCTTGATAATCTTGCTGATCACGGTAAATATAGCAAATAGTCAAATTTATAAACATTCTTTTCACCAATCTGTGCAAGGCTGGTAAGAAAAGCTTAGGAGGCTTATTTTGTTATTAAACCCAAAAATGTAACAGATTTAAAACAATACTCACTTATAAAGTAAGATATTTCAACAGACTTCCTACATAAATACTAATCAATTTGTTCACAGATCAAAACCATATCGCATGTAAGAAGAAAGGCAGTAGCAAAAAAAAAATTAAATCTAATGAAATATTAAGTCTACTGTGCAATGCTTAAGGGATATGCTTGATAGTTGATAAATAATTCATCTAATTTAAATGCAAATAGCAGAACATCATTACCATATGGATCAGTTCAATAATGCCTAAATGAAAGATCATATGTACTAATCAACTACCAGGAGACTTTCCACCTACAAAAGGGAAGTTAACTGTTTAGTGGGAAACAAATAGACAACTCACAAAGAATTATAAACCCTAATAAAGGACCCAGAAGAGCCTGGACATGCTCAACACTAATTGTGCCTGTATACCTAAAAATTGGGTGAAAAAAAGCATTTTGTCTAAATATGCTAATCCTGTCTGTATCAAATCCTATAGAACAGTCCCCTCTCCCACAGAAACCAGCAAAAGTGATCACTGCTGTGCCTCTATTTTGCCAAGCCACTGGTTTGTGTTGGAGCAGTTGGGGTTGGTTCAGACAGTTACATTAAGAAATTTTGCTCATTTGGCCAAAAAAAGTGCCATATAAAGATAATTTCAGTGAGGCCCTTGAATCCTGCAAAGACATCCACTGATGAAAATCCACGTAAACGGGAACTTCCAGTGAAGTAAAGCTGATGCTGCCTGTACTGTAAGTAGTATAGTACAGGAACCAATGGCAATTCTAGACAATTTCTTCAGTCTCTGGAGCAAAAAATTAGCATCTTGAAATATATATACCAACTGTATGCATAGATTAGAATATTAACTCTTCCTTGTGCACAAAACCTATTAGTTGTATGCCATCAGTTAATCTTATATGATTGCTTTCATTTACAGGAACACATTTTTTTGTTTTTCTCTTTTTAAAGTTATGCACATACAAACACATTCACCAGACACAGGTATGACATTAATTTGGCACAGCATACGATCAGTATAAATCAGTATTACAGTAATGCTGTATTTGCAAGTTATGAGCCTTTAAAATATACTATTATATGGCATATCTGGTACTTGAAAACAGAGCAGTGAAAAAGCAACAATCCTTTGCCACTTAGGAACAGGGATGCATTAATTATGTAGGTGGGGTGGCTCTGTGGAGCCTTTAGGATTCACTGAATCACCTGAATTACATGACCACCAAGCAGAGCTGTCTGGGTTTCATTCCAATACCTCACAGACTACAAAAACAAAATTTAATTGCCATTCACCACATGCTGCTGCCTGTGTGTGATTTGTCTTCCTGAAATACCATCTCCCCAGGCCAAAGAGAGGAACTGCTCATCTCAAAGACAACTTTTGAGCATGGTAAAATAAATGGAGGTTAATGGCTAGATTGGTGCTTTCCATTTTGTGTATCCTCAGATCTCTCTGCTGTGTGAGCACAATGCTTTTAATGTGCCAAAAGCACCTAGGTTGACAGGCATCAAAAGGCTTGCACAGCCCACTGAAACCAACCCCTATGACAAATAATAAATTGAGAAAACCAAGTTCTTTTAAGTGCTGCCTCAATGCAGAGCAATCACACACAATTCAGAGAGGTCAACGTGAACTGTGTAACTTACTGGCACTTATTTATTAGTGGCATTGTCCACAATCCAACACTAAGAAAAAAAGAATTCAACATCTCTGTTATTTACCCTTGTTCTCAGGGCTCTAAAATAATTCCTGGATCTCACGGCACTGCTTCATTGCATTTCAGAGCCACACTTCCCACAACACTGGCAATGGTATGGAATCCTGATGAGCTAATGCTGAAGAGTCAGTTTCAAGCACCCAAGTACCTAGCTTGCATTTTTATAAGCTATTTGTGGTTTAAATATACTGTCACTGTAGTTGACCACAACATAAATAAGAGTTATTTTGAATTTGGCTTGTCTACACCAATTTCAGACGTCTGAAAAAAAAAAATACATACCATGCCCAAATCAGAAATTTAATTGTTATTGTTCAAGGGATTATTTTGCTACAGATTATTACAATTAATAACAGGGTTGTTCCAACCCCTGTCCAACCTGGCCTTGAACCATCTATATGAAATATGAACAACAGCTATTTTGCTCTGATATTTTAACTCATCTATCCCTGAGGTAAGCATGCACACACACTCATCCCCAGGCACCCACTTGCTCACAAAACCTCTGTGATGGTCAAGAAAATTGGAGCAGGGAAATGGAAATGGGATGATAGAACTACTCCATCCAGTGCCCCATGGTCAACCAGAATAAAACCAACCCGCAGAAGTGTGCCTGCTATGTTTTAATTCTAATGAAATCCTGAGAAAAGAGACTTTGAGCATAGGGAACTGCAAGGCTTGAGGCTGTGGAGTTGATATGCTTGAGCTCCAGGAGAGGCGGGAGCACAATTCTCCACATCACGTGCTTTACATTTGATGTTTTACCACTCAACAACACGAGTGATACAGAATGTAAATCCTGAAATCCTGCCTGCTGAACAAAGGCAGGCAGAGCTTTGTTCAGCTCTGAGAAACTGGGTCCTGCTTTTGGAGGCAAAAGAGCAAAGAGTAGACTGGGTTGTGGCAAAAAGAATTTTAAAAACCCAATCCAACCAAACCAAAGAAAAAACCCAAACCAAAAAAATAAGTCCCGCTGTTTGGGTGAAAATTATTTTAAAATTATTTTTCTTCTCCGTTTATTAGACATGGCCAAAGACTGGTGACCATAAAACCTTCAGAGTTCATTTTGAAAACCCATGTTTCATCTATTCAAACTATAAGCACACCAAAGAAATCCACCAGCTTTCACAGCTTCTGAGAGCAAAGTTTGTCAGGCAACTGTGATTTTTTTTTCCTTTTTTTTCCAACTATTCTTTGGGGTTACCCAGTAAAAGTGCCACCCCACCATGGAAATTGATACAAGCACTAATGCCTCTTACATATCAGCATGTAATGCAGTACTGGTTATACAATACACTATTGTTCAATTACACTGTTAAGCACTAAAACACTACTTAGGGAGGCCCTATACCTGTCAGGGATACTGTCAGGAGAAATTGTTACTCTTTTTAATGAGAGGGAAAGAAAACCATAAGTCTCTTTTTCAAGGTAAATTAATGCCAATTAGTTACATTCTTTCATCAATCTTCCTAGATGTGTTTTTTTTTAAAGTAAAGCTATAGAAAAACAAGATAAATCTCTTGACTTCTCTGTGCTAAGAGTTTTATGTTGAAACGAGCGCAGATTCCTACACTATAGAGTGACAGACAATTCAGATCATAAATGCAACAGCAATTATAAAAATCTCTTGTGAAATATTGGCATTTTTTCCCATAATACCACACTAGTTTTCCAACTCTGGCTGCTTCCACAAGGCAAACAGATTGAAGCAATGGCAACTTATTTCCCACTCAAAAGTGTAAATAATTTAAACTGCTAGTGCTAAGAATTATAAAAAAATAACATTAAGGAAAAGGCTTCCTAATGAAAGTGAAGAGGATTCAATAGAAATTAAGTGTTTGTTTGTTTTTAATTCATAAAGCTAAAACCAACTTTAACTGCAAATTTGTAATATTAGTTGTATCCTTGACAAAGAAGATCTGCAACTACATGGGCTGGGGGCAACTGAGCTTGAAACACCTTCCAAGTGCATAAAAACTTGTGTTCACCTTGTGAAACTCACCTCTGCTCTGCATCACTCCAGTTGCTGAAAAGCCTTTCATTTTCTCTCTGCAGGTGCTCATTTTTGGCCTGCAGTTTTCCCAGGCTGTCCAGGCAGTAACCAATGAGCTCCTTCACCACCTTGGCTGGACTTGGGACCTCCTGCAGCTTCACAGAGCCAAGTCTGAACTAGGACACAAGGACAGAGTGTGTTATCCCAACCGCACAGGAAGGATCGCAAAACTTTGCTCCAATAGATTTTAATACTTAACAGTCACTTTGTCATACAGAGAATTGAGAAATGTGGAATAATCTACATGCCAATTATTTGCACAGGTGATGAGGGGTCTGGAGCATCTCCTTAATGAACAGAGACTGTGAGAGCTGGGCCTGGTAACTCTGGAGAGGAGAAGACTGAGAGGGGATCCCATCGATCCACACCAATACCCCCAAGGGCTGTCAGAGGATGGTTCCAGACTCTGTTCAGTAGTGCCCAGTGACAGGACAAGGAGCAATGGTCATAAACCAAAACACAACAAGTGCCCCCTCAGCATGAGGGAGAACTTCTTTCCATGGACATGGCAGAGCCCAGAACAGCTGCCCAGGGAGGGTGTGGAGTGTCCCTGCCTGGAAACATTCCAAACCCATCTGAACAAGTTCTTGTGTCACCTGCTCCAGGTGATCATGCCTGGGAAGGGGGTTGGACTGGATGATCTCCAGAGGTCCCTTCCAGCCCCAAATATCCTGGCATTCTGTGGTTTATACAGATAATATCTAAAATCTAATCAGCAAGTTGTCACCTCCAAGGTTCAGACAGCAAGTTCTTAACAATAAAAAGAGTCCTTCAATTAAATAGGTAGCCTTGTTAATTCAGTGAGATTAAAAGACAGGATCTATAATGAACTATTGTATTTCTTCAGCAGTAGGGATGTTGTTCAGGGTACACAAGAGGTCTGAACGGATTTGTTCTGCTGTGTCTGGGAAAAACAACAGAAAACTGTTGGTTTTGTTATGATTTTTTATGGCTCAGCCATACATACAAACCAGCACCAGCTGAACTATAAGTGTGCAAAGCTGGGTGAAGATACCCAAATACCCAATATGGCAGTTTGGGGCAATGGGAGAAGGATATTGAGGCTGCTTGAAGAGGGTCACACATGCTATCTGAGGAAAAGCAAATCAGAAATGAAGGGCCTGGCTTTGGTGCTCTGGAGTGGGCAGAGGATGGGGAACCTGAGCTACCTCAGGGCACACTTCTGCAGCTGATAAAGCCTACACAACACTCATGGGGCTTTCTGAGCCTCGCCACATCCAGGAGCACCACTGTCTGACTTGGCAGAAAACTGAGGGAGCAGCTCCTGAGAAATGCAGAAGTGGGCTGGATGACACAACCCAGATTTTGGCCAGCTCTAAACCACAATACAAGCAGAACTTTTGGGGAAAAAAGGTATTTAAATTACTTGGCTTCCACTGGAAATGCCTGCAGAAACATCGAGTTGGTGAGGGGTACATAGAAGGAGAAGGGGTCCTCTTTTGCATCTTGTAATTATCAAAAAGACTGACATAAAATTTGACAGAAGCATTGCATTTCCCTATGAATAGAACTATTACTCATATTTTCAACTTGAATACACAGCAATAACATCTTAAAATATATAAAAATGTAAGTGGTACATGCTAGGGGAGAGTTCAACCTGTGTTGTGGCTCCTCACCTATTAAAATCAGAAATGCCATTTCATTCCTTTTTCACCTCTTTTTGCTTGGGAAGGCAAGGAGAATAACTAAAAAAAGACATCATTAAAAAAAAAAGGCATATTGTTTGTTAACACCTTTTTAATAGCAAATTTCACTAACACAAAGTTTTACTGAAAAAGGCCTGGTAACATAACTGCACACAAAGATTTCAAAGGCATTGTTTGAAACAAGTAACAGTCCTTCAAGTTGGATCTTTTATCTGTGGAAGTCTCTGCCAACAACACATGATACCATCATGACCTTCTCCAGCAAGGTCAGTCTATTAGAAAATGTGACAAACCCAAAGGTTTAATTTCCAATTAACCATATACCTTTCCTGCAAACTCACATGTGCTGTCTCTAACGTGTTGTTGTCTTTAGCTGACATACATCTGATGGCTGCAGATGAAAAGATGCTTTCAATTTATTTTTGAAAATTAGATTACATTATCAGTGACCCACAGATTGGCGTGTATTCCCTGAATCACACTTGCTGTCTGACAGCATTAACAAAGGTGGACATTTGCATAAAGGAAACTGTTTTTCATCACTTGCAAGCCACCACCACACTATTTGGATAAAGGCTTCACGGCACACTTGAATACTTCCCACAGAAAGAGAGAGGCACAGTAGCAGAGATAAAACAGCCACACAATCTCCTACTTGTACTGTGAAGGAAATAGCAAGGAGAGTACATCACTTTTGTCTTATGCTTTAATATAATCAACTGAGACAAGGTATTAAACAAATTCGTTTAAATGGGACAAATAATCACAGTTTTCTCTGCACAAAAGAACAAAATATGCATAATCCTAAAAAACGGGTTTAAGTGAGTAGCAACAGATTTCAGCTGAAAGCCTGATACCACTGCCAACTAAAATCACACCAAACAAAAATCAGACATTTCAAAAGCAATTGTAATTATAAATAAACCAGAGACACAGAGAATTTTAGTTCAGAAATTTAGTTAGAATTTTAGTTTAGAAATTTAGTCTTTAATTCAGTCTTTATGCAAAGCAATTGACTATTATCTACTTTCTTACAATAAAATTCATTGTTCTGTTTTCTGTGTCTCAGACACTGCATGGACCATTTCAGTTCTCCTACATATCGCTTAGTTTTTCCTTGCAACTAAACCAAGAAACAGCCTAGTTATTTGTCCTTCATCACCAAAACCACAGTAGTGACACTGAAAACAATTCTAGGAAAATTCAGTAGAAGTGGCTGAAGATCAGGATACCATAACAAAGAGTTAACTGGGTGGGATATCAAGGTAAACAGATCTTGCTCACTGCAGGAGTGAAAGAAAACATCATTAACACTTTACTGAGCTAATCTGACACACAAGGTGTCTTTAGTTTGGATCATGTTTCCAAGGTGATTTTGTAAATTTTTAATGGTAAATTTTAATTTTTTGTCAGTTTTGTAATTCCTGCACGTTGCTGCTCCCCAGATCAATTTAAATTTCTCACCATTCTTACAGTTGCTGTGGCTTCCTGGCTCTGTATCATCTGCAGATGTAACTAATGTGCCTTCTGCTTCCTCTTTCAGATCATTCAAGGAAACATTATGTAAAACACTGAAGCACTAAACACTTCATTTATACAGACAAGGAGCAGCTCTGCTAGAGGTCCCAGGGGACACCACACTGACTGTGACTGACACACTGCTCCCCTTCAATAGCTGTTTCATTGTTTGTGGGGATTTCTTTTAAATTGTTATTTTTTTAAAGACATACAAAGATGAACAAAGACAGACTTAGAAAATTGTTCCAATAATCAGAAATCACAGTCAACATGTATCACTGGACCATATTTTAAGCTTAAGAAATAAAACCAAGAATTAGAAGCTTATGACAAAAATGTCCTTTTCCCATCACCTCTCACCCTGCCCATCTTCTACAGATGAAGAAAGCAGTGACCTCAACCATAAGACACAAAATATTTCAGAAGGAACTGAAAAGCTTCTTTAGTAATTTTTCTTCTACTTACTTATGCTTACAGGAATATATTTTCCTTCACATAGGAAAATAAAAGTTATTGAAATATGAGACAGCACACATTTTTCACAGAAAACTCCAAAGCTGTATGAAAACAACTTCATTCTATAGAGACATTAAAATTTAATTTTGAATTAAATATTATGTATCTGCTATATAATCTTTGCATTACTACATTGCACTAAAAATGAGATTTATCATATCCAAGGCAAAAATTACCAGAGGTTATGCACTGAAAGGAGGAGCCATTCACACAGCAATGCCTGCACACTCTCTGAGGCAGAATCTGAAGCTAAATACTAACAGTGAGCTAATTTCCAATAACAACAATTTTTCATTGTGACAAACTAGTCTAGAATTAAAAAAAAAAAATCATGCTGGAAACTCTTATTTCATGTGCTTTGCTGGTCATGATCTCTCTCTATATTACTTAAGTATCCTAACAATCCTTTCTAACAGTGTTTTTTTAATACAAAATATATTTAAGGAATTCTGTACTTCCACAAGGTAGAGAAAATATTTAGACAGATTTGTCATTTCTTTTCCTGGCAGGATAGATACAGTGTTTTTGTATATGTGTATATATATATATATATATATATATATATATATGTATATATGTATGCGTGTTTTTACATATATATATATATACACACATATATATACACTGTGTGCATGTGTGTGTCTCTTCTATTAAATCCTAACCTATAATATTTCACTTTTTCCTTCTCTGTTTTGAAAATTAATTAACACTTAATTTTTAGAGAGATCACACTTACAGGTACTTAGGCCTGATTTTGAAATGAAGATATTCCTAGTGTGTGAACTCACTGATGGAGTTCTAATTGTACAAGTCAACCTATAGTCTGTAACAGAATCACCTCTAACTCACCTCACTCAACTTCCACTTTTCCTGCCCCTGAATAGGACTCAGACATCCCTGTGCTTTGTTTCCAAGACGGTATTTCAAGCTGTATTAGCACACTTAGGAACACCTACATCCTTGCAGACAGAAGCTGCCTCTTGCAAGGAATTGCCTAAGCAACATCCTTTCACCAGGGAAATATTAAAGGAGAATTTGAAGGGAAAACAAAAACTCTGGAGCAGTCCACCAGCCTGGAGCAGCTGCTTCATCCCCGCCTGGCTCTGTGGGGACCCGCAGTTTGTAAAAGCAGCTATGGCCCCTGCAATGAAGCAGAAAACCCCTGCAGACCCAAACAACAACAATTTTTTTTGTCATCGCCCTGTCCCAAGCACAGAATCCCAGAATGTTAAGGGTTGGAAGGGACCTTAAAGCTTATCCAGTGCCACCCCATGCCATGGGCAGGGACACCTTCCACTATCCCAGGTTGCTCCAAGCCCTGTCCAACCTGGCCTTGGACACTTCCAGGGATGGGGCAACCTGTGCCAGGGCCTCCCCATCCTCACAGGCAGGAATTTTTCCTTCATATCTTA